TTGAAAACACTGTTTATATATATATATATATATATATATATATATATATATAATGTTCGCAATTAAATATATAATTGAATTCAATTATAGACATTCAAGTTGCTGAAATTTTTAGCGTTGTATTTCATATTACAAAGGTATGAATTTTGTTTAATGAACACCTTTCTTTTTTTGTTTGTAAAATATTGATTTTGTAATAACAAATGTGAGAATATCTTTGTTATCTCCCATGAAAAAATGCTTCTAAGTTTCAATACAAATAACTTTTTTCAAGGATCATTGAAAACAAAACTACTGTTCACTTTTACAGCTTTAATTATGATTTGTTGCATTGAACGTCAAAACTTACCTTCAATGGCCTGGTAATAGTGATTGTTTCAATGGTGGTAGCTTGTGCCATTGTTGTTTAGCTGTAATAATAAAACAAATTCATAATAACAAAATAAAGAAAAATAATGGTATTAGCAAACTAAAGATATATATTATCAATTAATTTAATGAAACTAATGGCTATATAACAATGACAAGAAAATGTGAAAATTATAGGTGAAATGATGTGAAATTAAACGTTAGAGAAAAAGGACATTGAGTTTTCTCCCAAACATTGATAATATTTATTCTATACATATATAGTTTACACGAGTTGTATGAGTGATTTATTTTTTTATTGCAAACTTCTGAATTGATGTAATGATGAATATTAATGATTAAGTAACAATATTTGTTATCAGATTTATAAATAGCAAATGTGTAAGTCTTATCAAATCTGATACTTTAATGATTTCTGACAAGCTCTTCCAACACACACGTAATATTAAAAATTCTTAATTCATGGAATGAATGAACACTTGTTACCGTGATATATATTACACACTATTATTATTACACGTGTTAACAAAGAGGAGATTAGTCACACCCAATAAAGCAATTGTTACGGATTCTGGGGAAGCACATATTTCTCAGTTTTAAACGATTGTATAATCTTGAATTGTACAATATCTTTCACTTTGACAATTACGTTCGACGAAGTAATCACACTTACAACAATGGGTAAATATAGAGCTTTTGGAGCACTATTAGTCTGTTCGACGCATCAAGCGTTCAATGGAGGAACGGACCTTCCAAATTTGACAATTTATCAAAGATTGTGCGTAGACAAGATTTAAATCCACGGAATGTATAAACAACACGATTCGATTCGAAGGGTTATGTGACTGAAAGTGTCAACAACAGGTCCCAATAATACGCTCGCGTACTCCTGGTCACACATACGACGGGAAAATGCAAATGCCTCAATGAATAATCGCTCGAAGAAATGCTCGCAAAGGACGAACGTTTTTATTGGCTATCGCTGCGTCCGGATTTCTAACCTCAAAACTGATTGGCATTTCACGCGTTTTCCTGGTCAACGAATGAAAGTCATGCATTCATAGTTCTCTCCAATACGATGCATCCAATAGGAAGACTGATTTCAAATTTATATTTGCTGCAACGCCAATAATGCAATAATGCTTTATTTTTATATTGTAACAATGAGAGCTTTGTTTTCCACGAATTTATCACATCTGTCCCAGATACTGGAATCATGTTTCATTTTTGTTTTGTAAAAAATACTTACTCTTGATTTAGTTCGTACGATTTCATTGTTAAAACACATTACGCAGAGCGTAATAAATTAGATCTGTTAAGCTACAAATTAATGTCAACACTGAATTCCATGTTTGTAAAAATTTCGAAAATATTTAAATAAGTTTAATAAATAGATCTAAATCTAATTTTAATAGAATATATTTTCAAAGTATATTTTATTAATTTAAATGCGAGTCGTAAATTTTGTTATTTCTATTTATGAAATTGAGAAAAAAGAGGAATTAAGCTAACACTTAATTTCTATAATAAATATTTTATTGGATTAAAAGGAAAATAATACTTTGTTCGAATTTTAGGATCTATTGTACCTTACACATTAATAATTACTATAAATTCCATAAATGTACAGTTTAATAATTATATAGTTCAGCTACAAATATGTACACAATATATACAAGTGTAAATATTTCAATAGACAATATTTCAATAGTATATACATATAAATAAATAAATGATGTTGCAAAGAAATACATTATATTTCATGTACATAAAATATCGTGCACGTGCAATAATACACTTGCATATGTAAATTTAAAAATTACTAAGTATGTACATATTATGTTGGGTAAAATTGTATCTATTATTTTACTCAACCCAAACCATTTATAATGTTGTATAAAATACTGAATAATTATTTGGATTATATAAAGAATGTATTTATGTATCAAAATATTAATAAAATATATTTTTAGTA